CCTATATCAAGCGACTCGCGCGGAGCCCAGACAGCGCCTGGCCCGCCGCCTCCGCCCGCGCCCGCTCCTCCGCGCCTGCCGGCATGGCCCCCAGCACCGTGGCCGTGGAGCTGCTCAGCCCCAAGGAGAAAAACCGGGTAAGTGCCAGCCCCGCAGTCTCCGCGCAGTCTTTCTCGGAGCGGTCCCCGCTGGCACGCCCGCCCGCTAGTCCGCGCCCTCTGACGCCCCCTCTTCCCGCAGCTGCGCAAGCCGGTGGTGGAGAAGATGCGCCGCGACCGCATCAACAGCAGCATCGAGCAGCTGAAGCTGCTGCTGGAGCAGGAGTTCGCGCGGCACCAGCCCAACTCTAAGCTCGAGAAGGCTGACATCCTGGAGATGGCCGTCAGCTATCTGAAGCACAGCAAAGGTGAGCGCGCAGCCTGCCCTCCCGGTCCTTGGATCCCCTGCTCCGGGTCCCCCATGCCCTGGCCCCGCTCCCTGGGTCACAGCTCACCAGATCCCCCGCTCCCGGTGTCCCGGTTCCCCATCTCCCAGTGCCGGCCACGCACTCATTGCCTATCCCCCCGCAGCCTTTGCTGCCGCTGCCGCCGGCCCCAAAAGCCTACACCAGGACTACAGCGAGGGTTATTCGTGGTGCCTGCAAGAGGCCGTGCAGTTCCTGACGCTGCACGCCGCCAGCGACACGCACATGAAGCTGCTCTACCACTTTCAGCGGCCCCCTGCCACGCCCGTTGCACCCAAGGAGCCCCCAGCTGCCAGCGCGGCGCCCCCTCCTACACTCACTTCGGCCAAGGCCACTGCCCCACGACAGCCCGCCTCTGGCCTCTGGCGGCCCTGGTGACCAGTACTGCCCAGGACCAGAGGGCGAGTGGGGAAGTGCCTTCCTATCCCCTTGGTCCAGCTTGGACGCCTGTCCAGAGGGCTTCCTCCCCAGCTGGCAGGCCAGCAAGGGAGCCATTCTCAGAGAATGTGTGCCTGCCCTTGTCATTTTAGGACAATCAGGGCCAATCTTGGAGAGAGCTGCAGGGAGCGTGTGACCCCAAGGGGTCGTTCTGTGTTTGCATTTCAGCAAGTGACTTCTGAGAAGTCCCGGCCGCATGCCGAGGTCTATGATATTTGTAGGCGGTGGGGCTGGCAGGAGCCGCTGTAGAGGACTTTCTTCAGGCCTGTGGCTGTAGGCACGCCCCCAGGCGGCCATGCAGCGGGCACTTCTTGCCTTTTGTGAAGGCGACCTCAGCGTGCATCCTCATAGGAGAGCGAGTAACAGCCTGAGGGCATGGAAGAGCCGCGCAGCGGAGCCTTTCCCGAGAGGCCCCATGTGTGCTCAGCTGTCCAGTTAGGGCTCATAGTGGGCTGTTTGGGGCGGGTGGGTCCCCACTACAATCCTTAAAGGATTCCTCTGTGTGAGTGCGTGTGGGCGCAATGTCTGTACTCAGTATTTGAACTCTGTCATGCAGACTGCTCTGCAGGCTTCTAATAAAATCTGACTGTTGAGTCTTCGTCTCTTCTAGTGCCTTGTGCCTTACAAGGGCGTCTTCTTTGGCCAGCACGGGGCGGAAGGGCGGGTCTGCAGGAGTGAAGGGGAGTGAGCACGGACATGGTGTGTAGCCTCGGTTAGGAGATTGCTTAGCAGTGACCCTCTGCCTGCTGGAAGAATGTCTGGGTCCTGGCCTGGGAAGGAGGAAGGGAGGGAGGGGAAGCACAGGTAGAGAAGGAAGAAGTGAGGGAAAGAGAGGAGGAGCTGGAAACAAGGGAAAGAGGAGGCAGGGGAGAAGCAAGGAGAGAGGCAAAGTGGAGAGGAATGGTAAGGAGAAAGGTGAGAGGGAGGAAGGGGAGGGGCAGGCTGAAAGGAGAGGGGCCTTGTAGACTGCATTCCCTCTGAATGTGTAGGAGGGGCAGCAAGGCGGGAGACCTGGGTTCCACTCAGAGGCTTTCACTAGCTCCCTGCAGGTGAGGGTGGGAACAAAGTGACAGCTATGGGCAAGCCCTTCCTGCTGTCTGGCTGGGGACCTGTAGCCTGCTGTAGACCCCTTGCTGCAGTCAAAGGGGGCTTGGCCGGGCCAAACAAACAGGAAGAAATGTTTACCACCATCACCTGCCCTTCCCCTCCAGCCTGCAGCCACCTGCAGCCCTGGCAGGAGATCCTGGAGGCACCTGTCTGGCTAATTCTCAGGTGTCTGCCCTGCCCTACCTCCCAGCCGCCGGCCACATGCCAGGCTGGAACAGGCAGTGTTGGTGGTGACTCTGCCAGGGCTGATCTCTTGCTCTGAAACGGCACCTATTTTTAGGCAGGCTACAGGGTTTTGGTTGAGTCTGCAAGATGCCAAGTTCCCCAAGGGGCGAAATCCACCCAGCAAGGAGTGGCAAGGAGCAGAAGGGAGAGCCTGGCACCCAGAGACTCCCAGATACTTTGTGATGACAATTCGGGCAGCGCAGGTCCCAGCCCTCTCTCCCCTCTGCCTTCTGCCCTTTCTGGCTCATTCTGAAGGGTGCCTTCTCCAGGCCAGCCGAGTGCCTGCCACTGGCCCTCTCTGGTAGCTGCTGAGCCCCAGCTGTGGTGGGCAGAGGACAGGGCAGGCTCACTGCAGACATGTGGGTCCATCATGACTGGGAGGAGCACACTGCGCTTATGGAGTGAAGTGTGCCTGCTGGCCAGGCTGGCCCATGGGCCGCCCTGCTGGCCAGGCCACTATGCCGGGTTCCCTGCTATGCCCTCTGGGGAGCAGACCCTCTGCCCTCCTCTACCAGAGCCTCCCCTAGGCAGGTTCCACCTAGGGCAGCACAGCCACCCTGTGGAAGGCACTAGGAAATGCCGTCTCCTCCCTGCAGCCCCACCTGATGCGCCCTGGAATCCTGCCCAGGGCTCTGCGTTCCTGCTGCCCATGGACCTGTTTTAGCTCTTTCGGGGCTCCCAGGAACCTGTCTGGCAGCTGGTGGCACTCTCAGTTTGCAGACAGAAAGGCTAAGGTCCAGAAGCACGCAGCAATGACCGTGGTCACTTGGGAGGCAGGAAACTGACCGCAGGGGCTGAGTCTGTCTGCCTCTGCACTGGGTTCTTTCCCAAAGCGCCAGTGCCTCTGAGGGACTCACCCTGGAACCTGTCTCTGCCATTCCCTGCATCCCTGCCCTGGAGTGGTCTCAAGTCTCAGCGTGTTTCCCGGCAAACTCCCACTGGTCCCTCACCCTACCCCACTTGCTGGAAGGCACCTCCTCCAGGCAGGCTCCCTGGCGGCGCCCTTGGGGCCCTGCTTCCCTTGCACTCTCTGTGGCCCGCCAGCAGAGTGCTCATCTTCCCTAGCTACGGGTCTGTGTCCCAGGCCTGTCTCCACCTGGGCTGGGGGCTTCTTGAGGGCAAGGTCCTCTCCTCCTCCCTGCTTGCATAGGGCTTTCGGCACTGAACCTGGACGCTGGGTCACCCTAGCAGAGACGTCACACGCACGCTAGAGTGCAGGAGCCTAGCTTATAGGGCGCGCTAGCGGGGCCAAGAGGCAGCTGTTACCGTCTGCAAGTCCCATTGCGGCTCTGGAAGCAGGAACGCCGCCTGTCTTACTCAGCACTAGCTCAGAGGACCCGAGTTAAGCATCTGGCCAGCTCGGGGGGGAAAAAAAACCACAACATATGCCAGATGTTTAGTGCCGAGGCGCAGTCTCTGGAGAATAGCTGCGGGCCCTTCCGCAGCCCGGCATCCTCTGACCCCTCCCCAGGCCCGCCCCCGGCGGCTCCCGCGGCGGCGAAGATCAAGGTAAACCGGTAGGGCGGGCGCCTCATTAGCATAATATATGCGCGGGAGGCGTTTAGCAGTCAAATCTATGCGCATATATATCCATGGCTGATGAGCCTAGCCGGGCACATTCAAAATGGCGGAGTGCGGGGCGAGCGGCAGCGGCAGCAGCGGGGACAGCCTGGACAAGAGCATCACGCTCCCACCCGACGAAATCTTCCGTAATCTGGAGAACGCCAAGCGCTTCGCCATCGACATCGGTACCGTGGGCTGGGGCGCCGGGAGCGGGGCGGCCCCGAGCAGGAGGGCGCCTCTTTGGGGTACCGGCGAGCTGGGGGCGGCGGGAAGGACGAAGGGCGGGGCGGGGGCCGCGGCGCGCGCGGCGTGACGGGAATTGTAGTCCGAGGGCCGCCGGTGCGGGGGCTCGCGGCGACGGCTGAACCACAGCTCCCGGCAGGCGCCGCGCGGGCCGGCGCGGGGCATGCCGGGGCTCGTAGTCCGGCGTGGTAGCGGGGTCGGTGTTGGGGGGCGCTGGGGAGCTGGCTGACGGGATCCACTGTCGGCGGGGACTGGACCCATGCGCGGGAAGGAGCGAGGGGCATGACCCCGAGGCGTCGCCCCTGGGCGCCCGGGCCGGCGGTCCCCCCGTTATCCCGGCGGAGGAGAGGGCGGCTGCGGGGCGGGGGGCCCTGGGGCCGGGCAGTAGGTTTAAATCTTGGCCCGCGTCGGACCGCTTGGCCAGGAGGCGAAGGGATGGTGCCCCAGCACTGCCTCGCGGTCCTCCGGGGCCAGCCTGAGATTTGGGGTTGAAGCGAAGACGAAGCCGGCACCCCAATCCCTGCCCGTCAGAAAGCGCTTCATAGGGCGGCCCAGCAATGGCCGCGGAGTCCGCGGCGGGGACCCCGCGCAGCCCTTCCGGGTCGGTCACCGACCTTTGGCCAGCGTCCCCAGGCAGAGGCCGTTGGGCAGACGCATTAGGACGCAGTGTTGAGGTCCTCCCGGGGACAAGCTGGGCGCCCGCACTTTACTCGCAGGCCGTTGCTTTTGGACATTTGACTATTAACAGCCAGGGACGGTGGACTTAAGAAGCGGGGTCATCTTCCGGGCCTTCCCACGGTTGTCTTAAGGGTGTGGGACACTCACTTCTCACCCTCCAGACCCTCCTGCCCCTCGGGGTCCCTTGTTTCCTCCCTCTACTCTCCTACCACTAGGCCTTTAAGTGGTTGCTGGTGTGCACCCTGCCCCCCTGATCCTGCAGCATCTTGATGGCATTAGCTCCTTCCCGTCTTGGGCCCTTCTCACTCGCTGACACACCTCACTGACACCCCTTGAGGAGGTGCTTGCATCACCCCATTGACAGGTGAGGAGACTGAGTCAGAGAACAATGAACCTGCTGGTGGTCATCTGGCTAGAAAGTGGTAGAGCCAGGATTGGAACCCAGCTGGCAACAACCACACTGTGGCCTGGGGCAGAGGGCTTCCTGGGCAGGAGCTAGGTGAAGCCCCTTGGATAGGCCCTGTGGCTGCCCCTTTTAGCCCGGGTCTGGGCTGCAGCCTATGTTTGTCTGAGTGCCTGTTTGAGTGTTCGCATGTAGGCAGTTAAGGCCCCTGAGAGCAGGGCAGGGTCTGCTTTTGTGCCCTCAGTGTCGTCAGCACCCACACAGTGCATGGCTGGTGTGTTTATGCTCAATAAATACTTGAATGAGTGAGTGAGCTGTGGACTGCTGCTCACTCTCCTGGGAAAGTTGGGGTGTCCAAGGGACCCAGGCCTGTCCCCTCGGAGCTGTTTGTTTCTGGTGCATTTAATGCATCTGCAAGTCTTGTGTTCTGGGGATCACTTGAGTCACAGGCTTGGTCCTTCACTGTTGTCTATGGTGCCCCATCAAGGAGGAGAGAGGTGTCCCGCAGGGAAGTTGGAGTGATGAGACTTGTGGGTCCTGGGTTCCTGCCTTGCAGTGTGGATGTCTTCCTTGGCACTGGAGAACAGGGCAAGCTTATGAGAAGCAGAAAGGAGGGTGTAAGGGGTGGGGTTTTGGGGGGTATGGCTGGTGGGAGGTGCCTGGAGGCTGGGCCTGAGGAAGAAGCCAGTGTACAAGCAGGCAGAGCCTGACTGACTGCCACAGAGGAATCAAATAGAAGGAAGGGCTGGAGGTGGTGAGCTTGGAGGCCCCACTGTCCATGCCAGCCTAGCCAAGGCTTCGAGCAAGCATCCACTCCAGACCCATAGTGGTGGACGGGCGCTTCACGCACCCTGTGAAGTTCAGGTCTTCATGCCCATCACTCCTGGAACCGCACATCCCCAAAGCAGCTCTCTCTCCTTAATCACTGCTGTAGAGGCTTTACAGTAAACTGCTGTCCCACGCTAGGTGACATTCTCAAGTTGTTAAAAGCGTATGTGCTTTGAAACAAAATAGTATTTGTATTATAAATATATGTTAAAAAGAAAAAAGAAAGGCCTTCTGCGTCCTGCCAGCACTGTGAGGTCACGGCTTCCCGGCCGGGTGTGTGGTCTGAAAGGTTCCGCTCCTTTTCCTGCTGTGTGCATCCTGCACTCAGGGCTCTGCTCAGTGGGAACAAGTCAAGAATCAGTGTTTCGGAAGTGCAGACGTCACTGTGGGGAACAGCAAGAGGCCGAGGCTTCTCTCCGTGTTCTTTGTGGCCCCAGAGGCCCACAAGGGGCCCACTGAGTGTTGCTGGCAGGAAGGGCCGTCCGTGCCCTGGAGGGTCCCGGCCTGCCCTGCCACCAGACCAGTTGGGGTTTGCTGACAGAGGAACATGCAGAGGGTTATTTTTAGTGCTGGTATTTATTTCCTCTTTCTGAAATTACCCCAGGTCGGGGTCCAGTGTCTGGTTCTGAAAAGGACACCCTCATCATTACTGAGTACAAGCCTTTGGTTTCTTACCGTAGCCATGGGAGGTCCCTCAAGGTGGGGTGCTCAGCCCAGGATCCACACAGCCAGAGTGCTCATCAGTAGTAGGCATCTCCGTTTCCCCTCCCTTACCCAGGGCTGTGGACCCAGGAGACTGCAGCTGTCCGAGTGTTCTTGGTGAAGCCTTGCCTCACTTGGATGGGGATGCCCAGCCATCTGGGCCAACCTACCTCTTCGAGAACATCAGGGACACTTGTGTCCCCATATGTACTTGAAGCAATGACTGGATTTCGGAGTGAGGCCAGGAGGCCCCGTGTTGCCAGGTGGTGGGGAGTGCTCCGCGGGGGCAGTGGGCACATGGGCAGGAAGGAGCAGCAGGGGTGATGGGTGCAGGCTTCCTGGCCCCCCCTCACTCAGTAAGGGCCCAAGGAGGGCCTTTGGGGCAGGAGAAGGTGCAGGGCACAGGCAGCCTGAGGATATCCTGCCCCGGCCCCATGAGGTCTGGAGACTGGAAGGTGGTGGTGGGGCTTGGGGGTCTCATGGAGGACCTCGCATGGATGAGCAGCTGTACCTCTTGGGGCTCCCTTTTCTCCTCTCCTCAAGGACGGGTGTGGAGACTGGGGCCTGGCTGGCAGAGTGCGCAGGGCAGTGTGTGGATGCCAGCCTGGCCCCTGTCATTGTTGGAGGTGGGCTGCGGAGCAGGTGACAACACATCTGGACTGGGGTACGTTCCAGCTCCAACGAGGCCCCGACAACAGGCCAAATGCTCCTGGTTTCCTCAGGCTCCCACTGTTCTTTCAGCCGATTCTGCTCCACACTGACCCCTCTGTTGTATCCATTGCCCCTTGCACCCCTGTGCCCTGTCTGCCCCCTCTTTGGGTCTCTGTGTCCTTAAGTTTGTTTATAGTGGCTTTTGACATGTCTCTTAAATGTATCGTTGTCTCTTTGCGTCGCCTGTTGTTAGAAAACAGTGTGTTCACAGAGGTGACTCAGACAACAATCATCTTAGAGAAGGACTTGGCCAGGCCAGGATTGGAGTCAGTAGGGGATAAGGAGGCTCAAGGCCGGCTCAGTGACTCAGACAACAAACATCTTAGAGAATGACTGGCTAGGCTGGGATTGGGATTGGGGGCAGGAGAGGGTAAGGAGGCTCAAGGCCGACTCCGCCTCCTGAGCTCACAGTGCAGGCGAGATTAAGGCCAGCATTGTGTTGACTCAACCAGACGTGCCCTCCACGCATGACAGAGGTGAAGCCGCGGGACTGCGGGGATGAGGCTGCAGCTGGGACGGGTGGTCACAGGAAGGTGGCCTGGGTTCTGTGAAGCAAGGAACTTTGGCCTTCGGCACCTGGACGTACTGACTTGTGGTCATCCTTATACATCCCTTTAGTATTCTGTCACAAAACAACCATTTGAAAATCATTTTCACCTTCATATTCTCTCAACGTGAAGGATGTTTGCTTTATTTTTGTCAGGCCCGGTAAGAAAGGTGGCCTGCTCAGAAGTCTTCCTGTGTGCTGGGCATGTAGTTCCTTCTGTCTCCTACTCGTGGGCCCCCACATCTGTGCCTGGAGCCCTGTTGCCTCCAGCGTGCCTGCTCTGACTTGGAGAGGAGCCTGGTTTAGTTCACCTGGAGAGTGACTTCACACTCTTCCTACGATGTATACCAGGAAGGCCTCGTCTGTCCTCTGTTGTCTGGTGCAGTCTTTGGCCGTCTGTCTGTGTTCAGTGTCCAGCAGCATTCTGGAGGCAGTGGGACCTCTGCAGGACATCTCGAAAATCTTAGCCATTGAGGGAAAATACTGTGGCGTCTCTGGTTTCTTCTGGTTTGTTTTGGGGCATGTACTGCCATCTCCAGCTCTGAGCCTCTCCAGAGGGCAGGAGCCTGCTTCTGGGCCCCAGATCTTGCTCAGCCCCATTGTCTCCAGTGTCTCTCCTGGGAAAATACTTGTTGGATAGCCTGCCTCACTTGTTAAGATGGGTGGCCAAGTGTGAGACTTGTAATGGAAATGCACTGGATGTAGGAGCCTGTTTCCTGGTTCGTTCTCAGGATGAGAACTGGAAGCTGCAGTTTCCGAAGCTGGGAACAGCAGCGGAGGTCCTTCAGAAACAGGACGGGCTGCTTCCTTCTCCAGGGCGAGTGGAAACTCTGAACCCAGTAGGTTAGGAGTCTGAGGAGGAACTGAAATTGTAAAGGGAAAACGGGCTTAGATTTGATAGCTCATCCTCTTGCTCTGCTTTGTGCCCTAGGCTGCCTGTCTGCAGGGCGCCAGACTGCACAGAGGGCCCCAGAGCATCTGCTCCTGGCCCCCACCGAGCTGCCCCATGCTTGCTGTGGGATGTTTCCTGGGAAACGTCCAGAGAGCAGTGAGCGGAGGGGTGGATACTCTGTCCCCCACCTAGTTCTGACTGTGCGGTTTGTCTCCCCCTCATAGGTGGGTCCCTGACCAAGCTGGCCTACTACTCAACTGTGCAGCACAAGGTCGCCAAAGTGAGGTCTTTCGACCACCCAGGAAAGGTGAGCTCTTTGGTGCAGAAGGTGCTGGCAGGCACAGGTTGAGGTGGCAGGCAAGCGTGTGGCTCAGCCAGAGGGACCAACTGGTGGCGCCTCCCCCTGTGATGTTCTCCTGCCAGCCCCTTTGCTGCTAGTGAATGTGGACTGGCTGTCCTGGAGGTTGCTAGTGTTTCTGTCCCTCCCTGTCCCCTAGCCCTGTTCCCTGCAGTCCTGACCTTGGACCTCTACCTGCTGGGCTCCTTGGGGAGGCCTCCTTTCCCAGTGGGGCAGCTGAGGGTCTCAGAAGTCCAGCCCCCTCCTCAGGTCTTTGGGCCTCTTCACATCATGGAGACCCTCTGCATTGGACCCTCCGAATTTGGACTTTGAGTTCTGCTTGTCTTAAGGTTGGCTTGGGTCGCCAGGCTGCTGGGGCAGGGCAGCAGAATGTTCCAGGACCTCTCAACTATATTCTCCAGGACACAGAGCAGGACCACGAGCCGCCCTATGAGATCTCCGTCCAGGAGGAGATCACTGCCCGCCTGCACTTCATCAAGTTCGAGAACACCTACATCGAAGCTTGCCTGGACTTCATCAAAGACCACCTGGTCAACACAGAGACGAAGGTCATCCAGGCCACAGGGGGTGGGGCCTACAAGTTCAAGGACCTCATTGAGGAGAAGCTTCAGCTCAAGTGAGTGGGGCCCAGCAGCCAAGACGGGGCCAACAGGGGAAAGTGGGTGAGCTGGCCCAGCCTGCTGGGGTAGGGTGGTAGGGAGGGCTCCCTACTGGTGAGAGGGGGTGGGGGGCTTACTGCTGGTGTGCTGGGGATTCCCTGCAGGTGTAAGGAGGGGTGGGGGTCTCCCTGCAGGTGTAGAGGTAGACACAGGCTGGTCAGTCCTTGGGGTTAGTCCTTGGGCTTGGGCTCTCCCGGCCTCTGTGGCAATAAACCTGGCCACTCTGAGTCTGCTGCAGTCCTGTTGTGGGGTTCCTGAGACCCCAAGATCTCGTAGTGCCTTTGGGTGGGTCCAGGGCTCTGGGCCGAGCTTTGCAAGCAGATATGGGGACTGAGCAGCAGGAAGGCCTGGGAGGGACTGAGGACTGGTGGGAGTGATGGGTGGGAGTGGCATGAGGGCGAAAGGAAGGAGATGGGCGTGGGGGGAGGGGAGTCTGTGCCAATGTCCTGCTGGCTGGACACCCTTCAGGGCTTTCTGGGAACATGAGGCGACGCCTGCCTGGCAGAGCCCAGTACACTGTCCGTCGCAGTCATTCTGTGAGCTGCTCTGCTGGCTGCTGTTTCCCGAGCATTGTATCTATGTGTGGAATCAGCAGCCTGGGGACAGCGTACGGGGAGCAGCGTCGTGGGATTTTGTGCCGGCCTGCCTCCCTGTACCATGGATGAGCTCCGTCCCTTGTGGCTGCCATGCTCCAGGGGCCACGCTTCCCTTGCAGAGTCGACAAGGAGGACGTGATGACCTGCCTCATAAAGGGCTGCAACTTCGTGTTGAAGAACATCCCACACGAGGCCTTCATGTACCAGAAGGATGCTGACCCCGAGTTCCGGTTCCAGACAAACCACCCAAACATTTTCCCCTACCTTCTCGTTAACATCGGCTCTGGGGTCTCCATTGTGAAGGTGAGTGAGTGATGGAGGGATTCGGGGGATGTTGGTGAGGCCCTTGTACATGTTGGAGCCAGTGGTGGGTGCAGGGACCCATGACACAGGAATGTGTGATATGGGGACATGTGACGCAGGACTGGCTCTCAGCCTGGTGCTCACAGGCCATGTTGAGTGCCAGTGCTCCTCGTCAGCAGGAAGGTCAGCTCCACCGTCAGCCTCAGGCCCTCCAGGGCATCAAGCTACACCCTTGAGAGTGGTCACCCACGATGGTGGCGGCAGTGCCCCTGTCAGGGTCTGCTCCTGGGGTAGCCCTGAGCCACTGTGTCCCCTGGGGACCTGCCGCGTGCTCATGCACCCCTGTCTGCTTCCCAGGTGGAGACCGAGGACGAGTTCGAGTGGATTGGCGGCAGCTCCATCGGGGGTGGCACCTTCTGGGGGCTTGGCGCTCTACTCACCAAGACAAAGGTACTCAGCTGCCTGTAGGAGGATGCCTGCTCTGGGAGGGCTGGGGCTATGGAATCGGGGACTTGTAGTGGGCCAGAATTTTACAAAAGTGGCTCCTTTCTGGCCTTTATTCTGTCTCCTGGGTCTCAGACCCCATAGCCCCAGTCGACGTGGAGTTGTTTGTGCTCTGGAGGATGGGGTGTCCAAATGGGCCTGGGGTATCGCCAGGTGGGTGGTCCACAGAGAGGCCCATGGCCTTGCCCTACACCTGCTCCATGCCATGCGAAGAGGCCGCCAAGCACCCGCAGGCTCTGCTTGACCTTTCATGGATGTGGTTCCGCATGCCACAAGGACACCGCCAGCCCCGAGATCTAACTGCTGTCATCTGCTCTGTCCCCACAGAAGTTTGACGAGCTGCTGCATCTGGCCTCCAAGGGCCAGCACACAAACGTGGACATGCTGGTCCAGGACATCTATGGTGGGGCATGCCAGACTCTGGGGCTCAGCGGCACCCTCATCGCCAGCAGCTTCGGAAAGTCAGCCACTGCCGACCGAGGTGCCTCAGGCGGGGACCTGTGACCACGGTGGAGGGAGAAGCCTCTTTTGTTCTTAAAGCATTGATGTGTCACTGTTACATGCCAGCTACTTGGAGGAGTTGGATTTTCAAAAAATAAGTCCTCATATCCCTTCCCGTCCCCAAATTACCACAGTCTTCACTTTGTGCCAACTTCACTTTAATTTTAGTAAATTAATTCGATCAGTCTTCACTTGAGGAGAAGTATGAGTTAGGAAAAGTGTTTGTTTTTTTTTTTTTCTTTTTTCCTTGATTGCACACACACTCCACACGCCTCTTTCTTGCTGTCTCCCATGCACGTGTATTTTCTCAGTCTCTATCACTCTTTCATGCTCTCTTGCACACTCTAGCTCTCCCTCACTCTCTCTCCCTCT